CTGGCGGACGACAAGGACAAGGCGGCGGAAGAGAAGAAGGCAGCGGGCGACGGGGGCAAGGAGGGCGAGGGCGGCAAGGAGGGCGAGAAGAAGAACGGCAAGTACGAGAAGCCGCCGTTCAGCTACAACGCGCTCATCATGATGGCCATCCGGCAGAGCCCAGAGAAGCGCCTCACGCTGAACGGCATCTACGAGTTCATCATGAAGAACTTCCCCTACTACCGGGAGAACAAGCAGGGCTGGCAGAACTCCATCCGCCACAACCTCTCGCTCAATAAGTGCTTCGTCAAGGTGCCCCGCCACTACGACGACCCGGGCAAAGGGAACTACTGGATGTTGGACCCTTCCAGCGACGACGTCTTCATCGGGGGCACCACGGGCAAGCTCCGCCGGAGGTCCACCACGTCGCGGGCCAAGCTGGCCTTCAAGCGGGGCGCCCGCCTCACCTCCACCGGACTGACATTCATGGATAGGGCAGGATCTTTGTATTGGCCCATGTCCCCTTTCCTCTCCCTGCACCACCCCCGGGCCAGCAGCACTTTGAGTTACAATGGCACCACGTCCGCCTACCCCAGCCACCCCATGCCCTACAGTTCAGTGTTGACTCAAAACTCCTTGGGAAACAACCACTCCTTTTCCACGTCGAATGGGTTAAGTGTTGATAGACTAGTCAATGGAGAGATACCTTACGCCACTCATCACCTCACAGCAGCAGCGCTGGCCGCCTCAGTGCCATGTGGCTTGTCAGTCCCCTGCTCTGGCACCTATTCCCTGAACCCTTGCTCCGTGAACCTTCTCGCGGGCCAGACCAGTTACTTTTTCCCCCACGTCCCTCACCCTTCAATGACTTCTCAAAGCAGCACTTCAATGACGGCCAGGGCAGCCACTTCCTCCACGTCTCCGCAGGCGCCCTCCACTCTCCCCTGTGAGTCCTTAAGACCTTCTTTGCCAAGTTTTACAACGGGACTGTCCGGAGGACTTTCTGATTATTTCACACATCAAAATCAGGGGTCTTCTTCAAACCCTTTAATACATTAACCTCCATGGGAGCAGACTGTAAGTGAACATTTTACACACATTTGCATTGTACATGAGAATTAAAAGAGAGAGAGAGAGAGAGAGAGAAACAAACAAACAAAACAAAAAAACAAAACAAAAAAGTCCAGGTATTTTTTATTAAGTCCCCCATTTTCTGTACGTTTGTTCAGTCTTTAGGGTTGTTTATTATTCCAGCGAGGGGAGGAGCGTCAGCAAGGTGCAATGTGGGGAGAGGACATTGTAGACTATGAAGTTTGGAAGTCAAAATGATAGTAGAATGTGTATCTAAATAGTGACTGCTTTTGCAATTTTTATTCAGCTATGACAAGCCTATCACTAAAACCGCCAGAGTTTCCATGTTTGCAGTATTATAAGTTATCATGGATATGTTGGTGGATGCAGACCTTGGGAAGGAAAAAAAAAAAAAGCCCACTAAATTTATGAAACCCATTAAAATTCAAATGTGATTTGTATTTAAGCAGATTGAATAGTGAAAGATGCCCAAAAGCTACATTTTGGCCATTTATGATTTTGTCCTTTTCTTTAATGAACTGATTTTTATTTTTATTTTTGGTTCCGTTTTGTTTTGTTTACTTTTAGACCAAAGATTGGGTTTTAGAAAATGCACTCAGTGTACTAAGTAATTTAAAGCAACAACAACATTGTTTCAGTTTGCAGCACTGCCCGTTCAAATGAATCAGAAGGGGACAAAATTAATGATTGCCTTCAGTTTGTGTTGTGTATATTTTGATGTATGTGGTCACTAACAGGTCACCTTTATTTTTTTTCTAAATGTAGTGAAATGTTAATACCTATTGTACTTATAGGTAAACCTTGCAAATATGTAACCTGTGTTGCGCAAATGCCGCATAAATTTGAGTGATTGTTAATGTCGTCTTAAAATTTCTTGATTGTGATACTGTGGTCATATGCCCGTGTTTGTCACTTACAAAAATGTTTACTATAAACACACAGAAATAAAAAAATAGGCTAAATTCATATATACTCGATAGTTTTTTTGTCTCTTTTATTAAATAGACTTAAAAGGCTCTAGAGCTCTAGGGAGTTCAGTGCTGCATATGCAAGGCCCACATTTTTTCACGCGCTCCTTTTTTCTCTTAATTCGCGTTATAGTTGGGAAAAAAATCTGTAATTTGCATGTTAAAGGAGCAGGCTATTTAATCAAACAGGAGGGCCGTTCGCATGTCATCCTCTCCTGACCGGAACTCCCTTTGACTTGTCTGGGGAGTTCTCCTTAAAAACGTAGTGCGATCTAGCTGCCCTTACTAGAATAGGCATTAAATTAAAGACGTCCGGGATCTTACTCCTTAAATTTACGTAGTTACACCCACGGGGCTAAATGAGAGAATTTAAACCCACCTAACCTGTGATCTACATTATTCTCTGCACTTTTCAAATAAATGCCACCCCCTCTCCCCCCTTAAAGAATTACTTTTGTGTTTAAATCATTGCTAGGGCATATATATTATTTTAATAGAGAGAGGGATTTGGACAAGCTGTTTAGTTTACAGAGTCTGGCTTATAGGACTACGCCTAAGTACACAGGATACGTGTATATATACATAATCTTTTCATAAAATAACTTTCAGGGCTACCCATATTTTAATGCTGCAAACAGTTCTTGCTATTGTTAAACTGCCTCTAGTTGTCAGGCAGCAAGTATTTTTCTGGAGGCTTCCCCCCTCCCCCACCCTCCCGCTCCCCAAGATGCTGAGGATGAGCTGAAGTTGCAGTATATTACAGAGCTATTGCCGAAGTAGTCACATGATATGGTAGATTGCATAGCAGTGTGTCAGCCTCTTTTAAAAGGCAATTTTAATGATTTTAAAATGCGAAGCACTAAAATGAATCTCTTTCTCACATTTTGTCCTCCAGTGCTAAATATTTACTGAAGCCCACTAGCATATAAAAACGTACGTAAGTATCTCGCCTTGACTGGAGGAACTGATCCATTTGCTTTAAGGGGACGATGTGAGGACTCTTTAAAGAAGTATTTGATCCTAAAACTGAAGCCGTTTCTTGAGGAGTTAAAGGGACCCTATAAGAGCCACAAACTCTTGAAAGTAATTAGAAAACTTGTGCAAAAGGTTTACGAACTAATTGGATCCCGCAGTGAGTCCGTGGAGGACAAGTTGTTCATTTGTTACAGTTGTATAGTCTGAAATGTGTGTTGCAGTAATGCAATAAGCCGGTTACTTCTCACAATAGGCCCAATGAAAAATAATCTCTATCCCGGAGATGTTATCGGCAAACACTTTAAAGAGTTGATCTTTCTTAAAAAAAACAAAAAGTGGGGTGGGGGGAGGAGAAAGAAAAACAGCAAACCTCGAATTCTTAAAACATTAGAATAGTGACCACACGGGGAGAGAAAGAGGAAAAAAAATCTTCTGATAATAAGACCTACACAAACAAATGCAAGCAAATCTGCAGAGAAGAGGGAGAGTAGGGTGACGTTCAGTGAGAGATGGGATACCAGGCATTACTTCTGGGGGTAGGAGGCAGAACAATCTCTGATAGTCTTGGTTTCCACTCTAACTGTTGCAGTTCAGATTAATCATGAGTGTAAGGAAAAGGTTGCTTTGTTTTAGTGACACTACTATGAAGCTCACCTCCTACACTCCCCCCCTCCCCCCCTCAGAAAAGAAATCTTCGTCCATTAAAACTTAACATCATGCCCAAAAGAATGAATGTTCGTAACAATTGCAAATAATACTTTGATACAATCAATTTGAAAGCTAAATTTGATCAGAATTTAATGCGTGAATTTAAGTTTTTAAAATGTGGAGTCCCCATTCTGTATATTTTTACCTAAGAAATTTAAAAGAATGGCATCTGCTGCAGCTGACAAAGGAGATGATTTATTATTTAACGCTTCCAAAGGGTTGCATATTGTGGGAAATCCAATAGCACATATTTAACATATTATTCCGTTTGCAGGGTTTTTGTTTTGTTTTGCTTTTATTTTTTTAAACAAAACGTGCTGATAATATACTGGGAGAGGGAAGGAGGAGTGAATAGCCAAATTGGCTAAAGGCATAATCTCTCCAAATCAAAGTTTTACGGTGGTTAATAAGCATTAATTAGGTAAGCATGATGGATGATAATTCCTGGGGGGTGGGGTGGGGGGGAAGTGGCACTACTATATTTCTCTAGGTGCCTGTAATAGACAAGTTTTAAACAAGCTCTCCTTGGTGCTTAACTTTGGGTTCAATAACAAACTGCTGCCTAAGCATTTCAGGTGTTATTGACTTTTTTCTTCTTTCTACTGATGTGGGGGAGGGGGGAGGTGCTTGATCTGGTAAGGCAGTCAGGTTAGTATATAAATATAACCTGGGATGGAAATGATTTTGAAGAAACATGCTAAGGAATTAATATCGTGTAGCCAAACAAAAAGGACCCTGGTTTTATATTTTACTTACCTGTCTCCCACCCAACAAGCTAAAACTTTTGTTAATTCAAGATGACTTTTCACACAAACATACTGCAGTGCGTTGTGAAATTTAAGGGGATTTTTTTTTCATCAGCAAAAAAGGTGTGATTTTATGTTTGTTTCCATACACTTTGGACATGCAGGCGCCTGAAGTCGAACTTTTAAGATCTTTTACGCAATTAAAATATATATATTTATAATGTGTCAAGATATCCCAGTGGCTTTTTTCCCCTAGGGCTTCCCCTCTGATACTGTTCATTTTTAAAAATTAAGAAGCTATTGCCATCTTTTTGGCTTGTTTTTGGGACGATCCAACTGTTCCATATAGGTCATCTTCTCTATAGTTCATCTATATAGAAGATGAGGCATCAATAAACTTCTAGTTCCTAGTGCTAGGAAAAAAATTAAGTGAGCATTAATGAGCTGCTTTCTAAATTTGCAGTCGAACGTCAGACAAGCCTCTTGGTTTAATTTCTTTTATTTCCTTTATATATTTTGAACTTCCTAAATTAGCTTCACGAAAACAGCTCAGTTTATGTGAAAGACCAGCTAGATTGTTTGCATGAAAATAAACAATAATGAAATCCATCTAAATACGACCATTGGGCGGAGGAAATCTTTAAAAAAAATCTGACCACTGAAAAAGTATGGGCGGGCCTGTATTTTTCTAATTCTGACTCCTTTCTGATGATTATTAAGATTTCTATCAGAAATTATGATTCAGACAGACACCCCCTCACCACACGCTATGAGATTGAGTCGTCCCAGTCAGAACTTATGCACTGCCTACTCAAGCAAAACTCCACTTGAACTCAATAAGAGTTTTTGCTTTTGTTTTTTGCCTGGGTAAGAACTTGAATACTCATTGCTAATTTAGTGATCATATTATTTTATTGGTCACAAAAATCTGCAGGTGTGTATTATCGCCTTTATATATTTAATTCCATACTCATTACAGGCTACTTGCATATATTGCAAACATATTCTATACATAATATAATATACACAAGTATGTATCTGTGTGTGCATATGAATATGTATATATTATATGTATGTGTCTATATATATAGATACATACATATAGTATATACACATATATACATATATAATGTATATACATGTGTATATATTATATGTATATTATATATATGTAAATACATATATTTAAAGCGAATATATACACATTACACGACAGCAGAATTAAATCCATAGAAATAATATACACATTATATGTCATTTGATTGTAGAATTAGAGCTATCAAAGCGATTGTATACACCTCTAGGATTTATACACCCATGGACTTTTCCCTCCCACTAGTGTCTGGGTACATTTGAAGCTCAAATGCTCTTGTTCTGAAGACAGTTTTTTTTTTCCCCCTGTGGTGAAAGTGACTGGGTAAATGGGTCAGAAAGTGGAGAACTGGGTTAGCAAGAGGTGAAGGTGAAGATCATTAGAGGTTTTAGGGCTGGCTGTGGCTGTTTTGCTGGGTTTGTGTGACTGTGCCCAGAGGGCGGAGTTCCTGCACATTCCTACCTCACCGGAGAACCT